CCACCGCGGTCACTTCAGACAGGGCGGCATGGGGGACACTGCCCTGCTGCCACCGTGGTCACCTCAGACAGGGCGGTACTGGCTGCCTCCACCCCTCCAGGACTGCTCCAGCCCCACCACAGTGCTAATAATCACAAAACCAAGGGCCTCTCCGACATTCATTCCATTGATGTCCACTGAGCACCTACTGTGAGGTAGCACTGACGTGGACACTGGGTCACAGGAGGGGACAAAATTGAGAAAAATCCCTTCTTCGATAAGCCAATGTTTTAGTGGGAAGAGGCAGCTAATACAAACAGGCAAGGCAGGTGGGCACAGGGCAGGACCATAAACAGGCAATACTGCAAGTGTGTGATGCTGCTGGAGGATTGCAACTCACTAGAGTTGGGCTGTAATAGTTCTAGAGTGGGCTTACTCAAGAACTTTCTGTAGGAGCCTACATTGTAGCTCCACCAAGTTCATTAAATAAGAGAGAGGGAAGGAGGAAAGAGGAAGAAGCAAAACTTCCAGACTCTGAATCTTTTCAGGTCAAGACCAAACTCCAGGCTTTGATTGACTTGTCCCACCTCCTACTCCAAACCTCCTCCCACCACTTTCACTCCCCTCTTCACGAGAGCCCCTGCACACACGTCAAAACCAGGGCCTCTGAGTCCAGCTTTTCACTCCCCTCCCTTCCCCTCCCCTCCCCTCTCCAGCTGCTCCTCAGCTTCTCTCCATTCTTCAAATTCTATGCAGCTTTCTTTACACTGCAGCCATCTCCTGCCTCAATGACCTCTTATCCTTCCACACTCTGACCAGGAGAGAGGAGAGAGAGAGAGAGAGAGAGTGTCCCTGTCTCCCAAAGGGAAGAGAAAGCAAAGCATTTCTCATACCATCTTCTCTAAGCACGTTTCCTCTTCTGTATAATAAGAAAGTTGCACTAAGTTTATTATTTTCTCAAACACTTAAATAGGGCCTCCTCTGTGCCAGGCACTGTTCTGAGCACTTACTGATATGAATTCATGTAACCTATATAAATCCATGAAAAACTGTCTCTCCATTTTATAGATGAAGAAACTGAGGCACAACAAGGTTAAGCAATGTGCCCAAAGTCAGTGTCAAAGCCAAAAGCCAGATCCCAGAAGACTGGTTCCTGAGCTGGTTTTAATCACCATCCTACAATCCCATGAGCCCACAGAGGAAGGCCTGGTCAGTTTTCGGAGACTAGAGGTTCTCATAACCAGACAACTCTAGCAATAAAGGTCCCCCAGCTCTGAAGTGGGGTCTCCAGTTTGCTTTCTGTAATTGGAGATCTTGAGCACATTCCAGGATTCCTGGATGGGTTGCTGGAGAGAGTTCCCCACCAAGATGTTGGCCAGCTGGATGAGAATTCAGAGCTGTGCAGGCAGATAACGTGGAACTTGTGCATACAGATGGAACACACACACACACAGACACACAAAGACACACACAAAGACAAATACACCCTCTTGCTCGTTGCAGGCACCGGGAGCAGCTCAAGGTCATGTTCGTTGGAGGCCCCAACACCAGGAAGGACTACCACATCGAGGAGGGTGAGGAGGTAGGTCTTGACACAGCCTTGGGTAGGACCGCCTGTCTGCAAGTGGGGGGCTGCCTAGTTCAGTGAGTTAGGCCGGAGCTGATGGACGAAAGAGGGACGGCTGGGCAAAGCACTGATGTGGAGGTAGCAAAGGGGCATGGCCAAGGTCACAGGAGCGTCTGCTGCCTGGAAGGAAGGAGGATGTGGCACAGTGGTGCTGAGCCATCCCCTCCTTTGGGAGCTCAGCATCTGTGTGAGAGTGTGAGACTCCAGCTGTGTCATGGATTGTCCATGCTCCACGTAAGACCACCTCATTGCATCTAGAATGGAGAAAGTTGGTCTCCAAGGTGAGACACAGCCAATCCCTCGAGGGCTCCCCCTCAGGCCCTAGGTTCTTCTGAGGCAGGGCCAAGTCCACAGAAATAGTGATGGGGTGAGCCGAGCTGAGGGATAGATAGGGTGGATGAGTGGGGTAGGGACAGAAGGCCTTCCAACCAGATACTTGGGTCCCCAGGAGCTATATGGGGAGGGAGGCAGGTGGGAAGGTTATTTTCAGTTGCTTCCTATTCATCTGAAAGCTGAACAGAAAGTAAGGAAGACAAAGGAAGGATCACTTCCTTTGAATTATGATGTTGGCAGAGTACTGAATAATCACATAGACTGCAAAAAGAACAAACAATCTGTCCTGGAGGAAGTGTAGTCAAGATGCTTCCTAGAGGCAAGGCGGGGAACTTTGTCTCATTTATTTTGGGCATGTTGTCAGAAAAGGACTGTTGTCGTGTACCATCGTGTCAGAACTGACCCATAGCTGACCCTCCAGCGAGTTTTCAGAGGCAGTTAACTACACTGGAGGAGATTGCCTATCCTTCTCCCATGGAGCAGCTGGTGGCCTCGAACACTTGCCTTCGGGATTGCAGCACAGTTTCTTGCCACTAGGCCACCAGAGCTCCCTAGGAGGGAGCTAGTCCTTGAAAAAAGATACGCTGGGGAAAATCAGCAAAGGAGAGGAAGACACCAAGTTAGAAGGATTAACACAGTGGCTGCAACACTGGGCTCGAGCCTGTCAGAGGTCATGAGAACGGCACAGGCTAGAGCAAGGGTCCTCTCTGTTGTTCATCGCATGGTTATGAGTTGTTTCAACGGCACCTAACAAAACCTTGAATTTTGAACTGTGTTTCTTTATCAACTACCCACAAGTAAAGTATGATTATAAGAAAAACATGTGCCTCTGTAAGGAGTGTTACATGCACCGAATGCCCTGATTCGGCCTCTTGCCTGAACAAAGGATTGACCAAGTAAAAGGAGGACCTGCCACGGATGGATCTCCGGTTCCCCTGGTTTTGACTGTCAAAGGCTGAGCCTTTGCTAGAGCACGGAGTTGAGACGAAAGGAGAAGAGATAAGAATGAAGGTGAAAGTAAAGACAATTCTTTTAGAAAAGATTCATTCCAGAGAGCATGACAAGTCATTTCTCTAAAAATAAAATGGAGAGGAAAGATCTTGTGTCACGTGTGTTAATATAGCTGGTTGGGGCAATATAGCTTCTGGACTTTGAGTCAGAGGCAAAGGGATGATGTCTTGGAGCGTTCAGAACTTGGAGGGTGGTTCCAGTCCTTTGTTCTTTATGTCATTCGTGTGCCTAAAACACATATCGGGCTACTTTGGGGACAGCCTCCACTGTGCACACCAGGCACGTGGGCCTAATGTTATTGGCTCCCTGGTTTTAACTGGATCGCTGAAACCTTTGCCTCCGGTTGACTTTGAACATGACTTTTGAGGCTTTCCTTATCTCACTGGCATCTGTTTTCCCATTCCCTCCACTCAGCAGTGTTTTCGGTGTGAACTCACCCAGTTCTGACTCTGACAAGGAGAGGGAGCTTGGGTGGCATGGCCTGCAGCCTGGTGCGCTGCTGACCAAGAGGCTGTGAGGGTCAGGTGAAGACATCAGGGCTTCCGAGTCAGAAAGATGGGCTGTAGAGATGGGTTGTCTCCTCCCCTTAAGATTTACAGCCTTAGAAACCAATAGCTGGTCACTTTTTTACTTTCCTAAAGGTCACTTCCTTATATAAGGTCAGAAGGTTTTAAAATTATGTTAAAAGTAGCGAACTGAAACTCTCAGAAAAGGATTTCAACCTGATAAGGAGGTTGTCCTCAAAATTGTCCTGAAATGAGGACAGCTCTTCCAGACGAAACAGGACTCCTCTCTCTTTTAAAATATCGTTGAAAAACTGTTGGTTTCCTATTCCTTTCTTTCCTGTTGTGAGGGGATGCCTCTTATTGTAGGGGTTACCTTGTGCCTCTTATTGTAGGGGTTACCTTGTGCTGGAGTCTGAGTTCTGGAGTCAGCTTGGTCACAGCCTCTGTCCTCACTGCTGGTGTCTCAGCCTGTCAAGGACTGGAGGAGCCCTGAGCAGTCAGGACATATTCTCCTGGTGCCCACTGTGTGCACTGGGAGCTTCTAGCCAGTGTGGTGAGAGGCAGGCCAGTAGGTCCCTGTCTCACGCTGCTGCTTCAAGGGGCTGCACTCTTCTCCTGGGCACCTCTTGCCCACAACTTACCTCACTGAAAACTACCGTCCTCTAAGGAAAACAAAAGTTAGCAGGAGAAGAACTATATTAGGAGTAGCCCACCACTGGGGCCACTGGCAACATCGTGATAGATGGAGAAGAGATTGAGGTTGTTAACAGCTGCAGTTTGCTCGGTTCCACAATCAACACTCTTGGCACCAGCAGCCAGGAAATCAAAAGACAAATTGCATTAGGAATATCTGCTGTCAGGGACCCCTCTAGAGTGCTAACGAGCAATGATATTAGTCTAGAGATTAAGGTGCGGTGCACTTCATTCAGGCCATGGTCTTCGCAATTACTTGCTATGAATCACAGAGCTACACAATGACCAAAGACGACAGAAGAATTGATGCCTTTGAGTTGTGGTGCTGGAGAAGAGTATTGAGCATACCATGGACCACCCAGAAAACAAATAGGTCTGTCTTGGAGAGGGCTGTTTCCATACATACTTTGGACGTGTGGCCAGAAGGGACCAGTCCTTGAAGAAGGACATCATTTTTGAAAGAATGGAGGGACAGCACAAGAGAGGAAGACCCCGAATGAGAAGGGCTGACACAATAACTGCGGTAATGAGGGTAGGTGTGTCAGGAACAGTAAGATTGGCTCAGGATAGAGCGGGAGTTCAGGGCTATTGTGCATAGAGTCATTAAGAGTTGTGGTTGACTCAATGGCACATAACAAAAAGGAGTGAGTTTAGAGACTAAGACGTGACTGATTCAAGTAATGATATTCTCAGTTGCTTGCTATTGATTGAAAGTTGGACACTGACTAAGGATAACAGAAGAATCCAAGAATTGTAAGGTTGTTTGGGCAGAATTAGGTAAATGAGACTGGGTGGAAAGAAAGTTAAAGTAGATAGCAATGAGATAAGGAAGCCTGAGAAGTCCTGTTAAGAGCCAATGGAAGACAAAGATCATAGAAAGATGCCCAGGAAACCCGTAACATTAGACCCAAGTGCCTGGCAGGTGCAGTACAGGCTGCCCCACTCCCAAGCAGTCAGAATATTGTTTTAGACACATGAGTGACATCAAGAACAAAGGACTGGGACCACCCACCAGAGTTTGAACTCTCACCATTCTGTCGGCTCAGACTCAAGCCCAGAAGCACACCCAAAGCAGCTACATTAACCAGTGACACACGTGGCATGCGGTCTTTTCTCCATTTTACTTTTGGAGAAATGACTCGTCTCACACTCTGGGACATATCTTTTCTAATAAAATTTACTTTGCTTTGACCTTCATTCCTGTCTCCTTGCCTTTCCCTCGCAACCAGGTTCGCTAACAAAGTCTCTGCCCACACCAGGATTCTTTTTTGAGCAGGTCATAGCCAAGCCAAAATCACTAGATTTGTTTATAGCTGATTTTTCTGTTGTCTCCTACCTGGTTCAATTCTTAGTCCAGGCAAGGAAGACAGAATCAGGGCATTTGCCACATGTAACAATGGTGACAAATAATAGATGTCCAAGATCAAGAAGTTGTCCAAGCCGAGCAAGGGAACACTGTATGATTTGAAATCAGGGAGGGTGTGCATTGGAGCCATATCCTTTCTCCCTATTACTAAATCTGTATGCTGAGCAAATAATCCATGAAGATGGATTCTGTGAAGAGGAATGTGGCACAAGGATCAGAGGAAGATTCCTCAACAACTTGCTTTATGCAGATGACACAACCTTGCCTGCTGAAAATGAGGAGGACTTAAAGCACTTCACTTACTGAAGAAGATCCCAGACTTCAGCCTTCATTTTGTAGTGAATACATCTTAACATAAAAAACAACAACAAAAACAACACACAAATCCTCATCACTGGAACAATATGCAATGTCATGATAGATGGAGAAAAGATTGAAGTTGTGAATTATTTCATTTGACTTGGGTCTACAATCAACATCCACAGTAACAGCAATCAAGATAAGATAAGTTGCACTGGGAAAATCTGTTGTCAAGGACGTACCTACCCAAAGTGCTAAAGAGTAATGATGTCATTTTTAAGACTAAGGTGCACCTGATCCACACCATAGTATTTTCAGTTGCTTCCTATGCATCTGAGAGTAGAGCATTGACTAAGGAGAGAGAAGAAAAATCAATGACCTTGAGTTGTGGGGTTGGAGGAGAGTATTGAATATCTCATGGACTGTCAAAAGAACAAACAAACCTGTCTTGGAGGAAATACAACCAAGGTGCTCCTTAGAGGTGAAGATGGTGGAACTTCTCACATACTTCGGGCATGTTGTCAGAAGGGGCCAGTCCTTGGGAAAAGACATCCTTCTCGGAAAAGGGGGGTTGGAGTCAGAGAAAGAGAAGATCGTCAAAAAAGATGTATTGATTCAGTGACTGTAACAGTGGGCTCAGACTTTAGAGGTCTTGAGATGGCACAAGATACGGGGCGGTTCTGATCTGTTGTTCGTAGCGTTGCTATGATTTTAACAACGATGCATGTGACAGACGTAGCGGGAAACACAGTTGTCCGCTTTGTGTTTTCTGGTCTTTTTTTCTGTCAGCTTTAGACAAGAGGTGTCCACTCTCGGTTAATTCTTCATATTAGAGAGATCAGAGATGCAGCAAATCAGAGAATGTGAGGATGACACAGGATGGAGCGAAGTTCAGAACTGTTATTTACAGCATTGCCATGAGTCAAAAATCAATTTGACAACACCAACAACAGCTTCAAATCACGCCTCTGGTTTTTACCATTTGAAGCCATATTTTCCTCTTCTCTGAGTTCTGTTCTCTGCAGCCGAGCCAGGCCCTAACTGTTCAGTGCCACCGCCCACCCACTCAGTCTCTCGCACTCTTTCCTGTGGGCTGGGAGTCAGACCCGGCTCAGAGTCTGTGCCTCTTTGTAGCTGTGTGATCTCAGGTCAGACATGTCCTGTCACCTCTGTGAACCTATTCGCTCTGGGGCCGGGCTGGCTGGAAGGACTGCATGGAGTGTGTGTACAGCCTTCGAGCTATGCTTTATACACTCCTTCTGTCCCGAAACATGCTCTTAAGGCCTCTCAGGAAAGCCAGACTCAGTTCACCATCTGCCAGAGTCAGTGCAGCTAATCTTCCAGGTAGCCCTAGGCCTCCAAACATTATTTACTTTTAAACGGACCACAGTTCCTTTTGGACTGCCCATGGCTGTTTGGCATGGTGCTTGGTGATGTGCACCTCTGCTCCTGGTCAGACCTGTCACTCCTCATGAAGAGTCCTAGGAGGAGTGACAAGATTGAAGAAAACTCTGCTTTGACATGTGCTGTTACATTTAGCCCGAAAATGGCTCAGGCCAGTGACTCAGACACACTCCATACCCCTCTCCATTCACTTCCACTGTGCTTGCAGGGCCTAAAGGCTGCAGCCCCTGCTCAGGACTCTGAGGGTCCCTCTTACCCTCATCCACCCAGGTGGCACCTCCATTCACCACTGCCCACATACATACAGGAACCTCACAGTTGGGAGTGGAGGACACATGCTAAATTGCTTCTTCAGGAAGCCTGGTGGTTGTGGTTTACCATCAAGTTGACTTCTAGTCATTGAGACCCTATGAACAATAGCCCTGAACTCTGCACTTTCCTGAGCCAAGCACACCATTTCTGATGCACCTGACCCCATTGCCACAGTCACTGACTGAGTCAATCCATCTCATTGAGGGTCTTCTTGTCCTGTGCTGACCCTCCACCCTCCCAAGCATGATATCCTTCTCCAAGGACTAGCCCCTCCTGACAATATGCCCCAAAGTATGTGAGACGGTGTTTCAAAACCCTTGCCTCTCCAGGACAGACCTGTTTGTTTGCTTAGCAGTGCATGGTGTGTAAAATACTCTTCCCCAGAACCACAGCTCAAAGGCATTGTCTTGTTTCTGTTAAATAATGTTTATGTTGTTATTATGAACTGTTGAGGCAAAACTGACTCAACTGTCCCTCCAGCAGCTTCTCAGAGGCTGTAAACGTCACGGGCCTTCGGTTTGGGGAGCACATCTCTGTATCACTAGGACACAAGAGCTCCCTTAAATAAGGTTTATGGGGAGAGATCGATACTAAAACTGTTTCTCAGAGTAAAGAAACCTAACATGTTACTCTCTCACCCTCTTACTGCTATTAATCAGAACTGATTCACAGCTGACCTCCTGCAGGTTTTCAGGGCTGTAAATTACAAGGGAAGAAATTGCCCATCTTTCTCCTGTGGAATTTCTGGTAGACTGGAACCAAGACTGGGTTAACCACTGGGTTAGCCGTGCAGCTCCTTACTGACTAAGCCACTGATGCTGAAACACAGGCATAGATTACATGTAACACACACAGACACAGACACACACACACACACACACACACACACACACACACATACACACAGAGTACCTCATCCACCAGGTGCTTCTTAGAGGCAAGAATGGTAAAACTTTGTGTCACACACCTAGGCCATGCTGTCAGTAAAGGATGGTCCTTTGGAAAAGACATGCGAGGAAAGAGGAAAGTAAAGAAAAGACGACCCTCAATGAGATGGCTTAACACAGTGACTATAGCAATGAATTTGAGTATGGTGGAGATCTTGAGGATTACACAGAATAGAGCAAGTTTCGATCTGTTGTTGTAGGGTTACTATGGGTCATAATGGACTGTCACTGTTGTTGTTATGTGCCGTCGACACACTTGTGACTCATTGCAACCCTATATTCAACAGCTTTAAAGCCTGATCTATCCTGAGCCAACTTCACTGTCTTTGACACACACCTACCCCCATTACCCCAGTCACTGAGTCATCCAATCTATCTCATCCAGAGTCTTCCTCTCCTGCGCTGTCCCTCCACCCTTTCAAGCATGATGCCCTTCTCCAAGGACTGGTCCCTCCTGGTCATATGCTCAAAGTATGTCAGACGGAATTTCAAAATACTGGCCTCCAAGGAGCACCCTGGTTTCACCCTTTCTATGATAGATGTTTGTTCTCTTAGCAGTCCATGGTATGTTCAAGACTCTTCTCCAGCACCACAACTCAAAGGCATCAGTTTTCCTTCTATCATCCTTAGTCATTGTCCAGCTCACTGATGCATAGCAAGTAATTGTAAAGGCCACAGCCTGCATCAGGCACACCTTAGTCTTTACACTGGCATTATTGCTCTTTGTAATAGTACCTAACACTTATCCACAGTCCCACTACTGAGGGTGGGAGGGGAGCAATTGTTAACACTGCCTCGTTTATTTATGAATAGCTACATAATTGGAATCCAGCTAGGATAGTTTGGAATCTTTAACATCATACCTTCAGCTATTCTTGTTATATTAACAGTTGTTAAATATAGTGCTTAATGTTACATAATATTTCATATTTTGGATCAATTGAAAAATGTATACAGTTCCCAATAGTTTTGTTTTGTGTTTTTGTTGTTTGTTTTTACTATCACTAATAGTAACAGGGGAAAACCCTGATTATCTGAGGCCATGATCCTAAAGTGTGATCAGCTGCCCTGGTCTGCCCAGGACTTCCCTGGTTTTAGTGCTTAATGTCTCTGTCCCAGGTATCTTGCCAACCCCAATCGTGCATGTGGTCACCTACAGGCAAGGGAACTGAGAGGACTCTTCCTTCCCTGGTCAAAGGGTTTGTGTTGTGTTGTGTTCTACCTCTGTTTGCTGGTGCTCAAGCTGACTTCTTTTAGTGGATACTGTGACAACAAACTCTATCTCTGTTAATACTTTAAAGGATAACAGTAATTATTCCTAATGATAACATCCCTTCAGCTGTTTGGCTGGGGCTTTTCACACTCATGCACTGTGTGGCATGGAGGACAGAGTAAGCCTGCTCCCCCCTCCCAGGTCCCTGGCGAGCTCGCAGAAAGCCCTGTCTGAGGGACTTAGCAGGGGAAATGCAGCAGGTGTTCTTGGGGGAAGGCAGGCAGGGAATGCTCCCATTCCACGGCCCTGACCCACCCTGGGCTCCCAGCAACACTGAGTCAGCCATGCTTACACCCTGAGTCCTGAAGGATTTGAGAAAGTTCACTCCAGCCCATACCACAGCATCATCCGGGCCAGTCACAAAGAAAGACTCCAGAGTCACACAAAGACGCGGGTCCCAACTTCGGTTCCAGCACTAACTACTTTACTCTCTAAGCCACAGTATCCTTGTTTTATTTTCTGCTAAATGAGGCTAATGCTTCTCTGGAGGTGATTGTAAAGAACATCAGTATTTAAGCACGTTTGCCCAAGTCTTGGCACCCGTAGGCCTAACAGCCCATCGGCCCTTGGAAAATAAGTGGTCCGGGTGTTGGCTGTTGCACTGGGCACTTGGCACTTGGCATAGCTTTCGTGTTGGAGTCATGCTGTCCTGTGTCTCAGCACTGCTACTGTGTTGGAAGACTTTCTGGAAGTTTCTGGTCCCTCCTCGGCAGAGCCCAGGGCTTGGGGAATAGTGGAGAACCTGTGTTGTTCCACAGGTGTTCTACCAGTTGGAAGGTGACATGGTTCTCCAAATCCTGGAAAAAGGGAAACACCGGGATGTGGTCATTCGACAGGGAGAGGTGAGGCCTGGCCCTGGGCAGGGGTGAGGGGTGCCAGAACTTGGAATCTTCCCTTCCCCCCTCTCCTGCCCTGGCTGAGGGCACACTCTCCCGCCTTTTCCTGCCTCCTGACCTGTCATACCCACGTTCTCCAGCGCCCCTCCCCTAGGTGCCCTGTCCTCTGCACAGCAGTGACCTCCCCGCCCCCCTGTGGGCAGCTCAGGGCCCTGGGGGCTGGGAGGTCTCGGGGAGAAGGGCTGACAGTCCTCTCCCTCCCACCGCAGATATTCCTTCTGCCGGCTTGTGTCCCCCACTCACCGCAGAGGTTTGCCAACACCGTGGGGCTGGTGATTGAACGGCGGCGGCTGCCCACCGAGCTGGATGGGCTCAGGTAGTTGGTCCCTGTCTGGAGGGCTGGTACAGAGGGGCGGCAATCAGCAGAGCTGGGAGGTTGGCTCCCAGACAGACTCCCAGAATCACTGTCTGGCTACTGAGAGGATTTGGGGGCTTTATGGTTGAGGAAACTTGTTTTTGTAGTGTGCCATCGAATCAGAACGGACGCATAGCCGACCCTCCAGCGGGTTGTCAAAGGCAGTAATCACAGGGCAGGAGATGCCCCAGCTTTCTCCCTTGGGGCATCTGGATTCTGCTGGGGGTGGGGGGGGCGGGGCAGGCGGGAGGTAGGGGTCGGGGGAGAAGGATGTTTTCTGTGACCCCCCCTCCCCCCTGGAGCCAGGTCAACCTGATGACCTCCTGGCTAGGAGAAGCTATGCTTTCTGTACTGGGGCCACCTGGGAGGGAGAGAATGCAGATAGCGGGGACGGGGGTGCCACGGTCAGGCTCACCCGACCCCAGTGCAGTGGGGACCCTGCCCAGTGTTGCCTCGGCCTCAGAAAGGCCCCCAGAGCACCCTCCACGTCTCCACCCCGTTTATCGCACCAACTCAGGTGAGGTCGCACCAGTTCCCACTGGGCACACCACGTGCGTCAGCACAACTTTGGCACACAATTGCCAGGGGCTGATGTTTGGGCTGGAAGCCGAGTCTCAGACCAGCCTTAAAGGTGCTTCTGGATTGGGCTTGATCCCTTAGCCTCTTGTTATCACTTTTGTGGCTGATGCTACAGTGGACACCGGTGCGCAGGAATCCGTTTGAGTTCTTGTTTTCAGTTCTTTCGGATATATACTTAGGAGTGGAATTGGTGGCTCCGAGGAATCCCCATGCTGTTTCCCACATGACTCCACCATTTTTCAGTCCCACTAGCAGTGGTGAAAAGAGGTCTGGTGACACAGTTCGTAACGTGTTAGACTGAGGAGGAAAAGATCCGAAATTCTAATCCACCAGCTGCTCCTGGAGAGAAGCTGGGTTGGTCCATCCCATAAAGATTGACAGTCCTGGAAACCAATGGAGAACGCGCCAAGTCGGCGTCAGCGGACGGGCAGTGAGTTAGTGAGAGCGCCAACCAGGATGCTACTTCCTCCACATTGTCTCTAATTCGGATCGTTTTCTCCTGATAGCCATCCTAATGGGGGTAGAGTGGTGTGTCATTGTGGAATTTTACCTTTTCACTTACAAAAAAAAAATTCAAGTATTTCTCAAGAGTGCTTTTACAATTGTTAATGGTTGCATAATAATCTCCTGCACGGCCCCGTGTTGTGAGTACAGACCCCCCTGCTGAGAATTTCCCACATGGGGCTTTATATCGACAGTCCTGAGTGATGGAGAGGACGGTGCTTCAATATCACTGTACAGCAAATTCAATAACGGGTTTCATCTGGCTGCGTCTGACATTTAATAAAAACCAGGGACTTGACATTAAAATGTCACCCCATAGGCAATTCCTAGAGGGCGTCTCAGTCCAGTTCTAAAGCCCTCTGGAGCCTAGGATAGACTGTAAGGCAGATGCACCATGTCTCCAAACCACCTCCCAAAAGCAGGACCGCCTCTTTGTGGGGGTAGGAGTTGCAGAGCAGACAGAGTTGGCTGGGAACTTAAGCCCATCCAGTCAACAGACGCTGGAGCATCTACTTGTCCTGCACAAGGGATCTAGGACGCCACAGCCCTCACTTCCCAGACCCTCCCCAGGGCCCTGGAGGAGCCATGCTGAGTGCAGAGGGAGCGGCAGGGGTGTACACCAGGCTCTGTGCGGGTATGTGGGCTTTCCTCTAGAGAAGAGGCGCTGAGCCTTACACCAGTTCTCCACAGCATCCATGACTCTGAAAAGAGAATGCCTCTCCTCTGGGGAAGTCCTTTGAATGTTAGTTACTCTATCCTACTCCTTAGGCCAGCATTCAAGCAGGGCAATCAGTCTTTGAAAGGCTCAGCCTCAGCCTCATTGGGGAAAACGGGACACTTGGATTAGATGTTCTCTCAATGTTAACCTCTCATGTGGAAACCTGGAGTTTTGGGTGCTGTAAATCATGTGGCAGGAGACTGTCCACCTGAATGCTTCAGGCAGGGGAAATTCAGTGGTAGAATTCTTGTCCTCTGGGCAGGAACTCCCAGGTCCATTGCGAGCCAGTGCACCTCAGCAGGTACTCACCTTGGTGCCAGGGGGAACATGTGTTGCTATGACGCTTAACAGGTTTTAGGAGAAAACTAAGAAGGACTAGAAAGCAATTCTGACCTCCAGATACCACCCAAAGAAAATGTATCACACTGGCTGGGTCCCCAGCGCATGGAGGGGACACTAAATTGTGTTCCACTGCTTTTTGAGGTCACCATGTGTGAAAGCCAATGCCAAAGCAGCTAACACCAAAGGCCCAAGGCAGGCTTGAGTCTGGCCTTGTTCTATCACCTGCAGGCTGTGGGATCCCTGCCCACTTGCCAAGCTGCCCTGAATTGCAGAGTCCTATCTGCTTCACAAACGGGAATAATGTTAAAGTTGTCAATAACACACCTGCACATACCCACTTTGGGGCACATATGTCACCAGCAAGAAGAGGCTGTAGGTGAGAGGCAATGGCTGGAGATGCAGATCACAGGGGAAGCAGGTGGCATCATTATGCATGAGCTGAGCCATGCCCGCGGGAGGCAGACCGGCTGCCCAGGTGAAGAGATAGCTGGGTTGACACCCCCCCCCCATGTTCTGGCAGGTACTATGTGGGAGATACCACGGACGTCTTGTTTGAGAAGTGGTTCTACTGCGAGGACCTTGGCACACAGCTGGCTCCCATCATCCAGGAGTGAGACCACAGCCTCCCTCGGTGCACCCCCAGCCCTCCTCCTCCTCATGGAGCACGCAGACTCCTCCAAGCTGTTCTCCCAGGAGCCCAGGGTCACCACACCTTAGAAATTAGAGAAAGGATGGGAGGGCCTAGACTGAGGACCCCAGAGAGAGGGGAGAGGGGGTTGCTTCATGGGGCTGGAGGGATGTTGGCTCCTGGTCCCGAGGCGGAGAATGCATGCTCGTGTGTGCGCCTCAGTCAATACAAGCTGGCATTTGGCCTCCTCCTCACCCATCCCGCAGGTTCTTCAACTCTGAGCAGCACAGAACAGGAAGGCCCATCCTTGGTGAGCTCCTGCGAACCCTTTTTCTCTCTTCTCCCTCCTCTCCATAGCCAGGTATTCCTCAACCCAGGATATCAGAGACCTTGTTTTGGGTTGTTGTGTGCCGTCGAGTCAGAGACAACCTATAGCTGATCCTCCAGAGGATTTTCAAAGACAGTAAATCCCATGAGAGAAGCTCTCCTGGCATAACTCCTTCCCCCTAGGCCACCAGAGCTCCCCGCACACTGACAAGAGCCCCCCACTGACCACGGTCCTACTGTGTTGCAGACCAGCTGCTCAAGGAGCCACCATTTCCCCTGAGCACACGGACAGTCATGGAGCCCATGTCCCTGCAGGCATGGCTGGACAGCCATCAAAAACACCTACAGGCTGGCACACCTCTCAGCCTGTTCGGGGACACATATGAGACACAGGTAATGCATGGGGACAAGGTCTTTGCCCTCGGAGGACGGTCTGCCCCATCCCCTGACAGTCTCCTGAAGGTATCAGAATTCTGGGGCATTTGGCCAGTTACAGCCTGTGTTTGTGTTACAGCTGTGTTTGAAGGTGAGGGGTGGGTGGAGGGGTGCAAGGAGAGAGAAAACTAAACAAAGCTGACCTTTCATCAACAAACACTTGTCAAGTGGCTGTTTCAGGTGCCCATGGGAGAATTAGATAGTTATTGCCTCAAAGAATGCATTTTCTGGTAAAGGAGTCAGACAAGTGTTGAGTGTTGACAAGTCAACAGTGTTGAGTGACAAGTTACTAAGCGGGTGTTAAGTTATTTGGTGGAGACATTACAGGTAGACACAGGAGGGGGAAAGGAGTAACTAGGCAGGAAGGGGAATCAGGGAAGACTTCCTGGAGGAGGTAGTGTGGAGTCTGAGTTTTAACTCTAGTCTAAAAAGAAATGAGAGTAAAGAATAAAAATAAAGAAGAATCAGGAGGTGAAGTGTGCACACTAAGTGAAGAAAAGCCTATGCCGAGGTCTGGCCCTGCTAGACACTGAGGTTGGCCAGAGCGAGGAGGAGGCAGCATGTGAGAGGCCCACTGTGCGAGCAGCTGCAAGGTCCAGGGCTCAGGGGCTGGGCAAGGCCTAAGGGCTTGTCTTGGGGGCAATAGGACTTCATTCAAGAATTGAAGCTTAAGAGTAACTCAACAGAGTGGTGTTTCACAAAGACTGTTTGCCTGACCTGGAGAGAGGTCAGGAGAGCAAGAGAAGCAATGAGCTGACCTGCTCGGGGGGGCTTGTGTGCGTGCTGTTCTTGAAACACCCACCTCCCCACCTTGGCAAACCCGCAGCCATGTGAGTTAGACACCCAGTGGAGGCACGCTCATTGATGCAGACAATCCCACAGGGCCAGCTGCTTGGAGGAGGCCAGGCACCAAATTCCTTCCCACCCCTCTTGGTAATGACAATCAGCCCTGAGATGCTTCTTGGGCTGCTATTCCCACCTGCCTCAGTTTACACAATGCATAACCACGTGCAGGACTCCCACTCGGCATCTGTTGTCTCGGGACCCAGAAGGGTCACACGGGCCTCTGACCACACTCACAGTGGGGAGATTGCAGGGACTTCTGGGGAGTCAGCGCGTGTGTTTCGTGTGTCTGCACATATGACAGGCTCATGTGTATATGTGTCCTGGCAAGTGCTGGTCAGCATCAGCACCTGCAGGTGTGCCTAGAGGCCACACTGTCCCTGAGCAGCCACGCATGGGCAGCACCTGTGGTAACAGGAGGCCGGCCCTGCATGAGGCCGCCTCCTGTGTGAGGCAGGAAGCACCGGAAAGATCTGTGCCACTCCCACCAGGTTGTTGCCCATGGACAAGGCAGCAGCAAAGGACAGAGAAAAGATGTGGACATATGGCTATGGCAGTTGGTGAGCATGGCCCTGGGAGAAGGGGTGCCCCACACCCTCCTACCCACCAGAACTGAGTGAGCAGGGCCCCTGGGTAGGGGGGGGTCCCAGGTCCCCCGTCCACCAGGCCCGGGCCTCAGCTCAGCACGGAGGCCAACAGCATGTTTGATTCTCCTGCTTCTCTCTCCCAGGAGGGCTCCTCAGTGGTGACGATGGGAGGACAACGCCTCAGCCTGGACCCCGACGACAGCCTCCTGGTGCCAGCTGGGACTTCGTGAGCACCCCCTGGAGCCCATCCACACACCCAGAGTGGACATATCCAACCTTGGGGCTCGTGGGATGCAGCTTCGCCTGAGCCCTGCCCATGTGTCTCCACAGGTATTCATGGGAGCGTGCAAAAGGTTCGGTGACCTTGTCTGTGACCCAGGATCCCGCTTGCAAGAAGCCTTGCAGGGACCCCAAGTAGCTGTGGTGTGTGTGAGCATCACTTCGACCCTGCTGGGTAACTCTCCCAGGCCCCACTCTCTGCAAGGAGATCCTGTGCTGCTGATCAGAGGCGAGGCCCTCCACACCACCGCCACCCACCTGGCTGCTGTTCTCTAGGGGGTTCCGTGCCCCCTACACCACCAGCAGCTTTCAGCATGACACTGCCAGCCCTCTGCCCCCACAGCCCTGCACAGCATTTAGTGGCTACCAAAAAGGGCCATAATAAAGGCTTCCCTGTGGTCTGGCTCCGAGAGGTTGCCGTCGTCTGCGGACCTGTGCACGACCCTGTGTGTTTCCCCGGGACTGTTTGTGTGGGAGCACTGTGTGATCATGAGCCTGTCAGGACCTTTGGCCAGGTGGCATTCACTGTGCGTGACCTCTGAGCTGTGTGTGTGTGTGTATGGGAGCTGACAGCATCTCTGCTTCTTTCTCTGTTCCCATTTATTCTTTTTTACATAACTTTTTCAAAAATAGCATCTACGGAGGTTTTTCCAAATAACAGAAGTGAGGTGCTAATTGTAGAAAATGCAGAAATGCAGAAAACCACAAGATGCCCCCACCCAGAGTGTAACCACTGCAAAAGCCTGAAGACTATCACTGGCCTAGAGACATGCTTTACCAGGCCTCAAGCCCTCCCTCCGCCTCCCAGCTATGCACAGTGTCCTACAATTCAGGGGGGCTACCCGGAGGGCAGGACCCCTGAGAGGTCAGAGTGCACGCAGCCTGCAGCGGGTGCTCTGGGCTGGGTTGTGACAATTCAAGAGCAGCTGAAGAGTAACTGAATCTAGGTCAGATGGGGCAGCTCACTGCTTGAAGGTAAAACTACCTAGGGGGAGGGGGGAAACAAGGGTCCGAATCCTCTGCCCAAGTGGCTCCCCAATGCGACAAGCTCCCTTGGGCAAAGGATATCCTCATGGTGCAAAATGGGTTTCCAGCCATGAGAAATGTTCTCTTCCCTACGGACTTCAAGTCTCACCAGCAAATGAAAACAGCCCTAGTCTGTAAGATTCACAGGAGGCAGGAAAACTGAGGGCAGAGGTGGGGGCTGTTCACTGTGAGGTTCAGGGAAGGAGCTGAGAACATAGATGGCAGGGGACCCCGTGGTGAGGATTCTAGTGGTGGAAGAAAAGGAGTTTGTCCACAGCCAAAGGCAGGCCCAATGCCAGATAGAAAGTAAGGAAAATCAGACTTTGCATGCATTTTCTTGAAAACCATAAACTTTTATGTAACTTACAACTGCAGAAGGTCAAGGATTGCAGCCTTCAATACGGACTGAAGCTCAACATCAAGAAAACAAAAGATTTTCATTACTGGGCTGATTGGCAGCATTATGATAGATGGTGAAGAGACTGAAATGGTTGACAGCTTTAGTTTGTTTGGCTTCCACAATCAACACTCTTGGTACCAGCAGCCAGGAAATCAAAAGACAAATTGCATTGGGAAAGTCTGCTGTTAGTGACCTCTCCAAAGTATTGAAGAGCAACGAAGTCAGTCTGGGGAGACTAAGGTGCACCAAATCCAGGCCTTAGTCTTCACAATTGCTTGCTATGCATCAGAATGCTGGACAGTGACTAGGGATAACAGGAGAGTTGATGCCTTTGAGCTGTGGTGCTGGAGAAGAGTATTGAGGGTACCATGGACTGCTAGGAGAACAAACATCTGTCCTAGAGAGGGTGAGACCAGGCTACTACTTGGAGGCAAGGATTTTGAAGTTCCGTCTGACATACTTTGGACTTCCAGGAGAACAAACAGGTTCATCCTGGAGAGGTGAAACCAGGCTGCTCCTTGGAGGAGCTCCTTGAGGCTTTTTCTGACATACTTTGGGCATTTTGTAAGGAGGGACCTTGGAGAGGGACATAATGTTTGAAAAGGTGGAGGGATCACAAAAGAGAGGAAGACCATTGATGAGATGGACTGATTCAGTGACTGGGGTAATGAGGGTGGGTGTGTCAGAGACAGTAAAGCTGGCACAGGATAGAGTAGGTTTCAGGGCTGTTGTATATAGAATCACTATGAGTCACAAGTGACTTGATGGCACATAACAACATCATCATCTAACACAACTCTCCAAGAAGGTAGAGATGCCCATTTCACAGGTGGTAAGAGGTTTGATGAGAAGCAGACAACCCCACTTGTCTTTGTTTGCTGCTTCCCATGCTGGTTCTCCTGTGGCCGCCTGTCCACCTTCAGCCGTGCCCAGCTGGAGAGTCCAGGAGGGGGGTGAGTCGGGGGCATCTGGGTGGGAAGCCTGAAGACCTGGACAGAGTTGGCAGCACTTGGTGGTGCAGACCAGCTGGTGATGGAAAGAGAGGGCAGAACATAGCCTGGCCTGGGAGATCAGACCACAGCTTCCTTTGGCCCTGCTGATGCGGTCATGAGGAGCCTGAGTCCCTGAAACCTCATCTGCCCACAGGCCCGGCTGTGCGGGCTCGTGACAGCGCCACCCAGTGGTGGAGCCGGACCAGGGAAGGTGACTGGGCTGAAGTCACCCAGTGCTCCCATTCTGCTCTGCAATGAATCCTGGATGGGGAGTGAGTGAGGTGGACCAGAAGCCATGGGGAGGAAACTGGAGGAATCTCAAGGATAGTCTCTCTGCGGGAAGAAGTCTCCAGTCTCCTAGGTAGTGGCAAGAAAATGCTGACAAGAGAGCCCTCTCTGCCTGTGGAATGAAGTTTATCATGGACTTGGGAACCACGACCAGCTTTGAAATTACCTGCAATCTGGGAACAGTGAAAAATGGACATAGGCCCCTTGTGTGTAGTTGAGTCAATACCAACCCCTGGTGGCCCTGACTGTACAAAACTACTACCTCACAGGCTCCCAAGCTTGATGGCTTACTAGGTCAGATCCACCAGGTGGGTTCAAACCACCAATGTTTTGGTTGGCAGTGGAATGCTTAACCACTGTGCCACACCCTCCACCCCTGGCCAAAGCCTTGAGGGGTCCTGTTGACTGAATTCTGCCTCTGTGAAGCAAGTTGGTGGGGCAGTGGGGAGGCCAGGGACCTGCACATCTGCTGTGGGTTGGGGTGCACAGAGAGGTCTGCATAATCCAAAGAACGTCTGGTGGCTACCAAGTCCAAGTGTGGGAGCACCCAAGGCTGTTCAAACTCTCTCCTGCATCCTCCACCACTCACCCCCTCCCACACAGGACCTCCAGCTCAGCCCTGCTTCCCCTTTTGCAGGTCAGGGTGAATTCCAGCCCCATGCTGGGCTCAGGGACCTGTGTGGCAGTCACTCCAGCACCAGAGAGGGAAGGGCAGGAGAGGTGGGGGCACAGGCTTCCCCTTCGCCTGTCAACAGGAACACTGATGCTGATAAAAACCCCAGGATGTTGCATCACTGCAGCTGGCCAATTGATAGCGTTTGCCCTACACTCGGTTCCAGACACCCAGCAGGAGAAGCCTCCAGAGACTTCATCCCCAAGGCCAAGACAGGGGCAGCCCATGGGATCCAACAACCTGAGTTCGCCTGTTCGCAGGCCCTCACCGCCTGCCTTCCTCTCGCCCTCTGCCTTCCCCACCGTGCGGGAGTCACAAGTGGAGGGCTGCACCCTGATTCCCTCCTCTACCCTGACGGCCTTCATGGCCTCCTTCCTTTGCATAGAGTTTGTGCTGGGTCTGGTAGGGAACACACTGGCCTTCCTCATCTTCTGCTTCTACACGCGGCCCTGGACCTCCAACACGGTGCTGCTGGTCTGCCTGGTCCTTGCAGACTTCCTCCTGGTCATCAACCTGCCCCTGCGGGTGGACTACTATTTGTTCCAGGAGGAGTGGCGCTTCGGGACCGCCGCCTGCCAAGTCAACCTCTTCATGATCTCCAGCAACCGCACGGCCAGCGTGGTCTTCCTGGCGGCCATCGCGCTCAACCGCTACCTGAAGGTGGTGTGGCCCCACCACGTGCTGAGCCGGGCCTCGGTGGGCGCGGCCGCCTTGGGGGCTGGTGGGCTCTGGGGGGTCATCCTGCTCCTCAACGTGCACCTGCTGCAGGGCATGAGCTCCAGTAGTGTCTGCCTCAGCTACCAGCTGGGCACGAACTCGTCGGCCTGGCACCGTTGGCACGAGGCACTGTTCGTGCTAGAGTTCTCGGTGACGCTGGCCCTCATCCTCTTCTCCACGGTGAGCATCTGGCGGACCATCCGCCGGCAGGGCCTGGAGGGCCAGGCGGGCCTGCGGAGGGCCATGCACGTGCTGCTGCTGGTGGTGGCCGGCTACACCATCTGCTTCCTGCCCAGCTTCGTCTTTGGCATCATGACGGTCGTGGCCTTCGAGCTGCACGCCTGCCACGCCTTCAACACCTACTCGCGGCTGTTCCACAGCTCACTGGCCTTCACCTACCTCAACAGCGTGCTGGACCCCGTGCTCTACTGCTTCTCCAGCCCTAACTTCCTGCACCAGATGCGCTTGCTCCTGGGCATGTCCAGCAGCTCACAAGGCTCCTCCAGCAACGAGAACTCCTACGTGGCCCCTGCCCGGCGTCTGGACGCCCCTCGGCAGGCGAAGGAGTGGAGGTCTGCTGTAGGGGAGCAGTGACAATGCCACTCTCTGGCCTGTGACCGCACGTGGTGCCCTAACCAATCTGGCAGGAGGCAGCTCTAGGCCAGTGCCAGGTCACTGCAGCAGCAGAACGCAGGGGACAGCAGGGAGAAGGGTGCTGGCCTTGCACAGGAGCACGCACAGCGTGGGGGCAGGGAGGAAGGAGCAGGACGCCAGGGGAGACAGGCAGGGAGCCCCCAGAACTCCTCAAGGGCCCCAGCTGCCCCATCCTGGGAGTTGAGGACATAATTACTGCAAGAGCTGAAAGCTATTTTAGAAAGCAGATAGCTGTACTTACTGGGATGATCTCCAGTTTGTTCTAATAAACTTCCTTTCTGAAAATTTAAGCCAAATTAGTATTTCTCAGTCCAGCCTGCGAGTGGGGTCAGTAGGATTCCAGGTGAGTGCCCTGAGGCAAAGGGTCATCTGGGGACAGAGTGGGGCACTCAGCAACCTTCCCCACAAAGGACACCATCTTCCACAGAGCGAGAAGCCCTCACTCTCAACTCTGCCACTGAATCAATTCTGACTCCCAGTGACCCTCTGTTGGGTTTCCGAGGCTGTGAATTTTAAGAGACTGCCCATCTTTCTTCCACATTGCTGCTGGAGGACTTGAACCACCAGACGCATGGCCTTTTGGGTAGCGCTTAACTTGCTGCAGATAACCCCTCCACTGGACGCCCCTGAAAGGTAGAGCTGCTTTCCTGTGGGAGGGGATGGGTGGGGAGAGGAGGGAAGGGGATGAGAGGGGAGTAAAAGGAAGTGGGGGAGGGGAGTAAAGGGAAGGTAGGGTGGGGAGCCTACCTCCTTCTCTCCTCCTCTCTGGCCTGTGAATCCTGACTGTCCACCTGAGGTCCAGCAGTTCAGTCTCCAATGCCTCCCTAGGACGGTGCTGCTGGTGGAGGTAGTGCTGCCCCACCGAACAGACCCCATGTGAGGGAAGGGGGTCCTGGAGCCACGAGGGCTTGGCTACCACCCCCAGCACCAAGGTTACCTTTCCCACCTCTCCCCCTTTCTGTGCTCTTCAGTGTGCCCATGGTCAGTATCTGAGGCCACAGCGCTGCCCTATTTCCCCAGATGCAAAAGGTGTGTATCTGACAGGCATCTATTTTGGGGAGAAAGGTTGGATTTACCGTCCACAGGGGAAATCACTCTTTGGCTGGTAACTCCTTTTATGACTTGGCCTGCAATTTCTACTCCAACCTTCCCCTCCGAGAGAATCTTAAGTTCCAGGGCCAGGGGGTGGGGGGAGTGGGGTGTACAGGGAGGGCCAGGGGCAAAGGGCTACTTCAGGCAGCAAAACCCCAAAGCCACATTTTCCAAGTCTCTTCTCTAGTCACCTCAGATGAATAAACTCCCCTCTCCCAGCTGAGGAAGACAGAGGCCTGGGCCTGATAAAGGGGAGCGAATCCCCTCTGCCCAAGACCCCCTGGAGTTGATGCCACTTAGGGTAGCCTTCTCATATGAGGACAGAGATGCCCATCTACACGTGAAAATGGATGCTTACCTTGTTTATGGGCATTCCATTCCTGCCAGGGACGGTACATTTGAAAACAAGAAGGTACACTTTAGGAAGCTACTGTGGGATTGGGACGGAGCCAGGTACCAGCCACATGGAGGTGTGGACAAAACATGCAATTGCTCACTGCAGATTCTAAGCACCAGGAAGCCTGAGCTGACCTCGCTGATTAGGTAATTCAATACCACACACACTCTGCTCTCTCTAGACTCAAGTTTTTCCTCTGTGAAATAAGAACAGTGATCCTGGCCCTTACCTACTTTGAGGATTGGAGACGGAAATAACTTAAGACGCCAGAGCACTTGGTCAGCAGAGCATTTGAGGTGCATGGGAGCTGGGGAGGGAAGGAAGAGAGATGAACAGCGAGGAGAAGGAAGCCCAGGAGGAAGAGGAGAACATGATCTTATTTATGCTCAAGTTTGAGGTCTTGGGGAGTATAAACTGTTCATGCATTCTGCTACTAGACTCTACTGGCCTCATGGTAAGAAGCTGCATTGCCAACCCAAAAGCTTATAGTTCAAATCCACCAGCTGCTCTGCAGAAGAAAAATGGGCAGTCTCCTCCCATGCAATTAATTGCCTCCGAAAACCCACTGGAGGGTCAGCTATGGGTCAGTTCTGACTCAATGGTATATAACAACAACATTAACCAAAAAAGTTCACACAAACATGTTTCAGCAGAAATAGATGGTGACTTGGGGGAAAAATCACCCCACAACAACGCCCCCACCCCAAACCTGGCCACTGAAAACCTTTGGGGTCCAGTTCTACTCTGACACAACTGGAGTCACCCTGTGTATGCAGTGACTCCCCAGTAACTAGGTGTTTTTTTTAAAGATGGGAGGACAGCATCCAGGTAGCTGGAGGTGGGGTGAGTAAAGACCCCATCTCGTACTTTCCGGTACAGAACCACATCTGGTTCCTGAGGCCAGCTGCACCTACTTAGTTAGTGGAAATCCCGGCAGTGACTGCTCCTTTTTCTTTGTCTCTTTTCTTTCCCCTATTTAACCTCTGACATCCTGAGGAAAAAATCAAAAGGTACTTTTCTTTTACTTGCAGAGACTCCTTTGTAAGGGAACAAGCATGTGGGACTTAGCTGAAGACTGAGTGTCATTAACGTAGCCAGTGTCCCCTGGGCACCCACCATAGGTCAGACACTGAGCTGAAAGGCAGCAACTGTTACCCTGCCCCAGACAGGCCCGAAAGAGACAGACCTGCTAAGAGGTCATATGCAACCCAGTGCTACCCAAGTTGCCTCAAGCACTGGTGCACCACAGAGAGCCAGAGAGCTCACTCAACTCAAGAGTATCTGCGAAGGGGTCAGGTGACCCGAGTCTTAGAGGATGAGGGAAACAGAGGAGACACACAGGGAAAAGAAAGAACCAGAGTTGTGAGAAGACTCTGTTCTGGGGAACAATGAATTCAAGGAGGCAACAGGAGGAGGTTGAGATGCACAATCAGGAGGGGGCAAGAGAGATGGGCTGGGACCAGACTGTGAAAGGTCTTGCTGCCAAGCCCAAGAGGCTTAAAAGAAGGTGTTTAAGAAGTTGATTGGGCAAACAACAGAGGCTGGCGAGGTTGCAGAGAGACTGGAACTCTTATTCACAGCTGGTGGGAATGTAAAATGATATAGCCACTATGGAAGGCTGTCTGGTGCTTTATCAAAAAGTTGGAAATAGACATATCATTTGACGCAGCAATTCCACTACTAGGACTATTCCCTAAAGAGCCACAACTCAAGCAGATGCATGTACACCCATGTTTATTGCTGTGTTACTCACAACAGCAAAGAGAAGAAAGCAACCCAAGTGCTCATCAATAAATGAATGAAGAACTATGGCACATTCACACAATGGAATATTATACAGCACTGAAAAACAATGAACTCATAAAGCATTATACAACATGGGTGAGCCCAAAGGACATTAAGCTGAGTGAAATATCTCAGTCACAAAAGGACAAATACTACATAACACCGTTTTTATAAAATAGGACAGACGGAGGTGGGGTGGACAGAGAATGAGAAAAGAGCAGATAGATAACGAACACTGCAGTAGAACAGATGATAGGAATAACTGTCCAAAAGGAATATATGAGTAGGCATTATATGTATGACAACAATCTGAAACAAAGGGTGCACTGATAGGTGAGCTGGTGGAGAGGGAAGGGGGGAAGAAAATGTGCAACAAAAGGAAAATTATAAATAAAAAAAAGTTAACGGAGGGAGGGGGAAGGGAGAAAGAGGAGGGAACCAACTTTCCTGCAAACTTTTGTTTAAATCACAATAAAACAAAGTTTCAAAAAAGTTGATTGGGATGATCATTTTTGTGTCTTGAGCTTACTCTGGCCATGTGGGTGCAGGAGTAGTGAGGTGACGAGACAGAGGAGGTGACTTGGTTAGAAGCGAGGGCCTAGAAAAAGGCAGCATCAGAGAGAATGGCAGGTCAGAAGAGAGATGCACATCTGAGAGGCATGGCTGAGGTGAACGACCAACAGTGGACAAGGCTGTGGATGGTGGACAGACGGTGACACAGTTAAGGGCACAGGTGTTGGAACTGAGCAGGAGAAGATAAAATGCTCTTTCTGTTTTAGACAAGTTAGGACAAGTTGGAGGGCCTCCAGGCAAATACATACAATCTTTCCAAGGCTGGGGACTCGTGCTCAGAAGCTTCCATTATGGGATGGGAGGAGATCACCAGGAAGAAAGTGAAGGGGGAAGAGGTCAAGAATCATTCTTAGAAATCTTTTATCAGACCCAGTGAAATGACAGGAAGAAGCCTTTAAGAAGGAAGACCAATAGGAGGAGGGCTGGGTAAAGAAGGGCAGATAAAAAAGTAAAGGCAATCACTATGCCTTCTAAAGAATAAAGAGACTGTCCATTAAAAACAAAACAAACCAGATAAAGTCCTCCTCCTTATCAATGTAAAAGCTAACTGCCAATTATCACGACAAACTGCGAAGTACCTCCTAGCAGAGCATTTTCAGAAGGGTTTCCTAATTGCTGAAGAAAGCTGATCTGAAAACTACAGTGCGTGTCCGACACCATCTGGTCAGGCTTTCAGATGGACCCCCTGAACTAACATTGTATTTGTATTTCACAGACTGCCAAGTGAACAAACACATCTGTCTTGGAAGCTGTGCGGTCGGAACTCCCAGAAGCAAAGGTGGTAAGTCTTTGTCTCACATAAACCAGGCTTGTTGTCACAAGAAGCCAATCTCTGGAGGAGGATATCAGGCTTGGCAAAGAGAAGGTCACTGGACAAGAGGAAGGCCCTCACTGAGTGGGTGGATGCATGGCTGTAACCAGGTGCTCGAGCCCGTGGCTTCGAGGAGGATGCGGCTCAGGAACCTTCATTCTGTTCACAGGAACCTAGGTTGCCATTTGTATAAAGTTTAATAATATGTAAAGCATCTTCTAAATTAGTTATAGATCCATACATGTGTCTTAATTGTACAAAGCATGCCTTAGGATTTTAGCA